CCCCAAAACCCCAAAACCCCAAAACCCCCTAGATATACAATATCAGACTTTAAAGAAGTTTTATAATAAAGAGAAGCAATTAAAATAGAAAAGTTATAAACTTGCATATATGAGTATAATGAAAATTACTTGATTTTTGTATAGTTTGCTCCAAGAAATTGGTAAGAGGGGAGAAGATGACAGTTCGGTTCTCCTCACTTGGTAGTGTTCACTCAAATGGACCGAATTCTAATAAAATTACAACTTCAAGGTATTTTTCTAATTAAAAAAGTTATACTCAGATATACCCTTGTCAACTGGGCTCCAAAAAGTTTGTTATTGCAGTTCAGGAAAGCTGCAAACATATATTTCCTGCTTATATCTGTATTGACTTGCATGTCTTTTTCCCCTAAAGTAACAAACTATTGAATTAACTCATTAGTAACCTGCTTCTATGATTGGAACTTTTGCCATTGTGCTGTTTTTTACAATGCTTAAAGAAGCTTACGAGGTAAAATTTTTCACCATTATAATTTTAGGATATATTTAGACACAAGCAAGATAAAGAGCTAAATATGAAGGTGTCTGAAGTTCATCTACAAGCTAAAAATGAATTTTTCGAGAAAAGATGGGACATGATTAAAATGGGTGAACTTGTAAAGGTGTTTAAGGATGAAGAATTTCCAGCCGACATACTTTTATTAAAAAGTTCGAAGGATAATGGACTTGCCTACGTTGATACTATGAATCTAGACGGAGAGACAAATCTCAAAGAGAGAAATTCACCTGTGGATTTGTAAGTTTTGAAAGATGATGACATTCATCATCTAGATGGTGAGCTAATATGCGATTCCCCAAATGAAAGCTTAGAAAAATGGGATGGAAATGTCACCAGTCCTTAACTACCAAAAGCTATAAATGTAGGACTAAAGTAACTATTACTGAGAGGATGTAGACTAAGAAACACAGAATATATTCTGGGCTTTGTGGTATATACTGGAAAAGAGTCTAAGATTATGATGAACCAGAAAAAGCCAAAGCAAAAAATAAGTAACGTAATGAGAATGATGAATACAATGTTGTATTCAGTTTTCATGTTTTAATTGGTGATAATCTTACTTTTTGCAAGTCTTAGTATGATCTGGCAAGCAAATAACTCTGATATTCATCATTACCTGGGAGAGGATTCCTCACCAGGATTCGACACATTCATAATTAAAATGCTTACATTTTGGGTTGCCTATTCTCATCTTATACCAATCTCTCTCTACGTAGTGCTTGAAATCATCAAACTTGCTCAGTCATACTTGATTAAAAATGATCTCAGGATGTATGATAAGGAAACTGGATTCTCAATGTGCAGGAATTCAGATCTAATTGAAGAGATGGGACAAGTAGAATTCATATTTTCAGATAAGACAGGAACACTTACCTGCAATATTATGGAGTTCAAAATGGTATCTTGCAATGGATAAATATTCAATAACTAAGAAGAAATCAATGAAACACTTAAATCCCCTATAAATTTTATGGAAAATCCATAATTGGCATAGACTTAGATGATGCTACACCAATTTTTACACACACTTTCTGTTTGCCATACTGTCTTAATTGATACTGATGCCAATGGTAAAAAGTCATTTTAAGCTAGTAGTCCAGATGAATTGGCTTTAGTTGATGGAGCTGCTGCTTCTGGCTATAAATTTTCAGCTCGCAATGTGCAATTCATAGGTATTGAAAATACTCACACTAATCCAAAGACAAAAGAGATATTTGAAGTTCTAAATGAATTTCCCTTTGACAGTACCAGAAAAAGAATGTCTCTCATAGTCAGGAAAAAGGGAGATACAGCTATTTAAATGCTTAGCAAGGGTGCTGACTCAATATTACTTCCAAGATGCGTTATCAATCCAGTAATGAGAGAATCGATTGAAAAAGACTTATATTACTTTGCAACTTAAGGTTTAAGAACTTTAGTTATTGCTAAGAAGCCTCTAGCTTAAGAAATTTATAATGATTGGAATGAAAGATTTTTCAAGATAAGTACTTCAAATCTACCTGATAAAGAATAAAAATTATTAGATCTGTATGATGAACTAGAGCATGACTTGAATTACCTTGGCTGTACTGCTATTGAAGATCTTCTTTAGGAGGATGTTCCTTAAACAATCAAAGACTTGATGACTGCAAACATTAAAATGTGGGTATTGACTGGAGATAAGCAGGAAACTGCTATTGAAATAGGGAAATCTTGCAACATTATTGACCTAAACACAATGGACCTCATTATTTTAAGTTCAAGTACAAAAGAAGAGTTCAAGGAGAAATTAAGAGACTCCTTTAACAATTTTGTAAGAAATATAAGGTCATTAAAATTCACTATAGCCTAATCCAAAGAAGAGAATGACTATTGTGATTGATGGGTCTACTTTAGCATTTGCATTAGAAGATGAAGTGCTCTCAACTATATTTTATTAATTCGGTTGCAAAGCTATATCAGTTTTGTGCTGTAGAGTTTCACCAAAGCAAAAATCTGATGTAGTAGCTTTAGCAAAAGCAAATAGCACGAATATTACACTTGCTATTGGAGATGGAGCCAATGATGTACCGATGATTATGGAAGCACATATCGGAGTTGGAATTAGAGGTAAAGAAGGAACATAAGCAGCAAGATCTGCTGATTACTCTATAGGAAAGTTCAAGTTCTTAAAATATCTTGCTTTTTATCATGGTAGAAACGCATATAGAAGATTGGGGAGCTTCATCTGCTATTATTTCTACAAAAATGTGATTCTTGTCTTTTGTGAAATATACTTTGCCTTTGCGAATGGATATTCAGGCTAAACTTTCTTTGCAGACTGGTTACCTATGCTTTATAATGCAGTTTGGACTAGTTGGCCATGCATGTTTACATACTTTTTCGAGAGAGATGCAGATTATGACTTTTCACTAAAAAACCCTATTCTTTATGTCGCTGGACACAAGAGAGTCTATTTCAACTTTAGAGTGTTTTGGAAATATATCCTAATGGCTTACATCCATGGTTTAATATGCTATTTATTCCCATTACTCGGATTTGACAATCAGTTAGATGATTCGGGAAGTACTTAAGATACTTGGTTTCATTCAACACTCTCGTTCACACTTATTCTTCACATTGTTACCTACAAATTGCTAGTAGATGCTACAATGTGGAATTTTATCAATCTCACTATGTGCTTTATCTCACTCTCTATGTACTACATTTGTGTTTTAGTCATTAATATGGGTTTCATTGCAGAAATCATCTAACCTCAATTACAAGAAACATTTATACTTCTTCTAAATAATGGAAAGATATGGCTGCTGATTATCATCGGGCCTTTTATCGCTTTACTACTAGATTTGACTCTTTTATTTCTTAATAGAGTTTATTTCAAGAGTCCAGCTGATCAGATTATTCTCCAAATGAAACAAGAGTAAAAGGATTTTGGTGGTAATAGTAATAATAAACTTAGTAAAAAGCATTCTAATGGCGCGTAAAAACTTCCTCAGCAGGATGAAGAGGAATTCTCTTCTTTATCAAAAGATAAAAAAGACGATAAGACTAACAACAATGATCTTGGCTAGCTTAATACAGACATTGGGCCAGCTGAAAAGTAATCTAGTGATATAACACCTAAAAAGAGCATTCCTAAATCAAATTCCAAAAAGAAAAACAACCCCAAAAAAGCACCACCTAAAAAGAAACCCCCTAAAAAAGAGGAGGAAGAGTATTATGACGAAGAATATGACGAGGAAGATGGTGGAGAAGAATAAGATAAAGCTAATTTATACAAGTAAGTAAAAAAACCTGGCAAAATGGACTATACATTAAACTCGGTTTCTCCTGCAGTTCAAGGCTAGTTTGTCAATAGAAAGCCAAGTCAGGGTGTTTCAAATAAACCTTAATAAAAATAACACAATAGGAGATGATCTATATTTTTATCCAGGCCTTTATTTTCTATTTTAAGAATATCAACTGTTAACATCTAATGAAACATCTATTTAAATTCACCTGGACGGGGTTTTGGGGTTTTGGGGTTTTGGGG